ATATATATATATATATATATATATATATTTTTCCCCCCCTGTGATTGTTAGAATGCTGTGTGAAATAAAGGACACCTAAATTGTGAGTCAAGTTGTGTGTTTGAGTCTCATATCAACACTAATTTTGTGACCTTGGGCAAGCTATTTAAATCAAATAGTTTCCTCAGATACAAAATATAGATAGTATGGGGAGGGGGATGAGGTAATAAATATGAAAGGCACAATATAAATGCAGAACATTGTTAATAGTTAACTTTGTGCTTGTTAGGCCCTTTGAAAAATTATCCTTGTGTTCTTATCACAGTATCCAGCAGGTGATGGTAGGGTTTTTATAGATTGAACCACCTTTCATGTAATTGTCCAAGTTTCACAAAGTAAAAACCTTCACCATTTTTTAAAAACAAAATTCATAAAAGTTAGGTAGGTGACTTGCCAAAGGTGAAAACTAATTATCATGTCAGTACTGAAATCCAGGACTGTAACCATAGCATTATAGGCTAATCATCTTCCACCAAGCTCTGCTACCTTCCCCAAATAATTGATTGTTTATTAAAATCACATAAATATTTTTACCTGTGATTGTAATTTAAATATATGACTCATCCTTTGTAAGTTGAGAACAATTTAGAAAGGCATGTTCTAATAATTAACTGACTTAAGACCTTTGACTTACAGGTGATGGCTTGCAAAAAGGGAATTTATTAGGTTACATAATTAGCTATGAAGAATATTGGAGCAGCTCTTAGAATTGAAGGACCAGGGCTTTAGAGACTAGAGCTGGAGCTTGGGGTAGCCAAGACTCTATGTCTTATAGCCCTAGGTCTGTCAAACCAAGAAGGATGAGCTGTACCTTTCTTGGAAATTTGGGAGAACTCCATTTGGCCTAGCCCGTATTTCACAACCACCCCTGACACTACAAGTAGTATTAGATTGAACCATATGAAGTTACTAATAGTCAATCATATTTTTACTAACTGAAAAGGCCATTCATATGGTTCGGCCTTTTAATAGTGCGAGATGGTAGAGTGGAGAATGAGGCATCATAGATTGACAGCCCTAACGGGACCTCAGAAAATGGTGTAGTTCACAAAAAGAGAAGAGCTGTTGCCCTTCCTACCAGAAGAAAAATGGGAAAGCATTTGGACAGACCCACAAAAAACAGTGACCATGGTATAGCACACTTACAAAGAATATTATGGATCAGCTAGACTTTAGCTGGATTAGGTCACTGTGGAAATGAAAAGGACCTCAAATATAAAAATTTCTAAGGCAAGAGATGGAATTGCTCTTACTAGTCCTTTTCCTAAGCATCTCAGAGTTTGACAAATCTGTCATGTAACCCGTGTGCCCAAAGCTCTCAAATTATACCCTTCTGTACTTGGCTGCTGTATGCTAAACGTTTGTTGAATGTCAAACATGTACTAGGTACCTTCCTCATAATAATCCTAGTTAAAGATGAAGAAATTGAGGTTCAAAGAGATAAAATAATTTGCCCGAGATTATACAACTAATTTATACGGAACCAAATTCTGAAGTCTAAGTTAAAGATTAATCCAACTTTTTCTTCCATACTAGTACTCTTCAAAGATTGTCATTGAAATACCTCGAAAGATGGAAGAGAGTACATATGTATGAGAGGTCTGTAGGCATATATGATCTTAAATATGGATATTGTTTATTGCTCCATAATGATGACGATAGCTTTGCTTTTTAAATGCCAAGAGTGTTTAACTCAGATTTTTAAATTGTCTTTTTAAGAGGATGTATGTCACATTATCTCGTATGAGAAAAATGACACTCTGCTTTTGTGTGAATGACTCACCCAGTTTATATAACTCTCGTCCACATCATTCTTAGATAGGCTGTAAATTCCCTCCTGAATTTTTCTGCTTATAGTGAAATAGCCAATAGCGGTTCATCTTTCTATACATGTTGATTCTAATTGACCCGATAGTGTACTCTCAAGATGTATAGCTTTGGAAGTAGATTATAATTGCTATGTTATAACAAAACTTTGTTTAAATAGTCTTTTTGTTGTTATTACCTACTTAAGGTAGATATTAACTATGTGCTTTATGGAGACTATACCTTTTTGTCAAAAGGTTGAGGCATTAGGGGGAAAGAAGGAACAACAGAGAGTCTTTTGCTAATTACATAGCAGTGTGGAGTTTTGGGAATATAATACTAAAGAGTGCTTTCTGGTCATTGATGCTAAAGGTGAGTGGTTCTCGATCTGATACGTAAAGCAAAGCTGAAGTGATTTTACTGTTTTGTTTTTTATTTTCATAGAGAAGTATAATAATGTGGTAATTTAAAAGAATGCTTTGAATAGTTTGCTCTCCTGCAAGTTTCCAAAAGTCTACCGGGTAATATATTTAGGGAACATTTTGGTGAAAAAATGGTATAATATTGGGGGAATTTGACCTTGGAGAAGTTCTTCATAATTTTAATTATGTCAGATATATTAACTTTAACTATTTTAAAGTAGCTCAAATAGCTATCAGATTTTTTGTAAAAGTTAATCTGTGTAAAAATAATGAGGGCTTTTTTTGTTTTTTCATTTTTTCTCATCTTTTAAAAGACTTACCTGGTAGAGTTATTTGTCATTAGATTCTTTATTAAGCAGTTTACTTTAAAAATATTCCCTATTTATTTTATAGATGATAGTATATCTGCTGCAAGTACTTCTGATGTTCAAGATCGCCTCTCAGCTCTTGAGTTACGAGTTCAACAACAAGAAGATGAAATCACTGTGCTAAAGGCAGCTTTGGCTGATGTTTTGAGACGTCTTGCAAGCTCTGAAGATCATGTAGCTTCAGTGAAGAAATCAGTCCCAAGTAAAGGTAATTGTGTTGTAAAGTAGAAAGAGTCTTGCATTTTGCAACACTTTCTTTGCAGTAATATATTACCAGTGGCATTAAAATTGGCAATATAAAACTATAGTTTCTCTTTTGGATTATTTGTGATTACAGTTTATTGTCTACTTCCTTTTTCTTCCCAAGAAATTAGGAAAGTTTGTTTTTTATTTTAAATTGGGAATTTTTGTGTAATATCACTGATTGTGTTTACAGGCTTTTATATCATAGTATTTGTGTGAATTTAGTATCTTCCAAAAAAATAACAAATTCACTGAGGGCGGAAACGGAATCTTCTTTTTTGTGTTTCACATAGTAATTAGCATTGCATCTTGAACATAGCAGGCAGTCACTCATATATACTTTTGAATCAGTGTTCTTACCATTACAGAAATGATTAAAATTATTATAGTTTAAGTAGCTTCATTCTAAGCCTTCTGTGGCCATTAGCAGAATCCTGAAGAATTTGAGCTCTGAAATTTATTCCTAACTCCACAATACAATGGGAATTTTAACTTCCAGTCATGGAGAGTTTTCACAGGTTGAGGGAGTTTGGAGCAAATGTAATGTGGACTTTCCCTTTCTCCACCCAGAAAGAATTTGAATTCTTTAACATTAATCAAACAATTGAACATATTATTTCATATATCTTACTGATTTCTTGGTAGAGTAGGTGGGCATAGACATGATTATCCCCATTTTGGCAATAATTAAAGTTGAGGATATTCATTGGCTTACCTCTCTAAGATAGTGAATCAGGATATGAGGACCAAATCTGTTAGAAAGATGATGAATTCCGTTTCTGCATGTTGAGTCTGAGGCTTGTAGAAAGACCCCTGTAGATAGCTAAGTTACAGGTCTAGGGCCCACGTTGGCCTTATCTGTGATTCTGGAAATGTTCACCTTGTGGGTGGCAGTTGAGTTCACAGGAAGAGGGTATAAGTGAGAACGAGTCCCGGCCAGCTCTGCCCGGAGCTCCAGATGCAGCAGGTGAGGAGAACCGTGGAACTGAGAGCAGCAGTGAAAGCCACTCTTTCAGAAAATTTCCCTGAAAGGGGAAGGTGGTAGTAGCTAGAAGATGCTGACTTAAAGGCCAACTTTAATTTTTCATTTTTTAAGATGTTACCAACTTGAACACAGCGATGTGTTGAGGACAAAAACAGCAGAGAGGAAGGCAGTGCTGGTGCGGGAGGGGGGGTGGTCATTGAAGAGGCAAAGTTTCCTGATAGTTTGAGACAGGCTCTTAGAGCCGGTAAGAAACTATTAGTCTTAGACCGAAAGAAGACTTTCTCTTTCCATGAGATAGCATGGAAAAAGATAAAACTAAGTTAACTTTGCTATATATCACAGCTGTTAGGGCTGGAACTTCCCTTCTTTAATCACTTTCTCCTCAGGGCACAGTGATGTCCTGGGCAGTGAAAAGAGAGTTAACGTTTGGGATGATTACAGGAGAAACTGGAAGTCCTTAGACATCTGAGAGAAATGCTGAATGACCTTGAGAGCATTGAGGCGGGGAAACTGGAGGAGGGGCATTCATTCTGCCTGGTGTTGTGATTCCCATTCTTATCCCTCCCACCCTCAAGCATGCTGGGCCTAGATGTGGAGACTTAGAGATGGCAGAATTCATCTTTTCCATCAGTAAAGGAATATTTATAAGGAAATTTAAAGGCTGCTTTTTAAAAATTTGGTAGTGAATAATATTTTGTATGATACATCAGTTACTTAGTACCTACCTGTTTCAGTGTCACAAAATATAAATGCAGTTAAATCGCTGTAGTTTGTATTTCCCAGGAACATATTTTTTGTAAGTTGTCCTTTCTAGACTTTTTGTAGTTGTCCTGAAACTGCAGATAGAACTAAAAACCCTATGTATGTATTGTTTTTTCCTATACATACATACATACCCATGATAAAGTTTAATTTATACATTAGGCACAGTAAGGGATTAACAACAATAATTAATAATAAAATAAAACAATTATAACAATATACTGTAATAAGTTATGTGACTGTGGGCTTTCTCTCCCAAAATATCTTATTGTATTGTACTCACCCTTCTTGTGACGATGTGAGATGATACAGTGCCTATGTAATGAGATGAAGTGAGGTACTCAGAACTGCATACAATTTAAAACTTAATTGTTTATTTCTGGAATTTTCCATTTAATATTTTGGACCACAGTTGACCGCGGTTACTGAAATCTTAGAAAGCAAAAACGGCAGATAAGGGGGGGCCTATTAAAAGCTAAGCTTCACTTCTTTCTTTAGTATATTATGCCAGAAACTTAACTGAGGTAGAAAGTTTTCCCAATAATTTTTAAGGTGCCAGTCATTTAAATTTCTCATATACCTTCTATTCTGTTGGAGAATTCTTTCCTTTTGACGACATATGTTCATAATATATGCACCAGTTGCAACTGAATCCCTGCCAAAAGAAAAAAAATTACCTGTTCTTTGCAGCCCAGGGAACACTTTGGCAGTTTTAACTGCTAGGAAGACAAATTATATCACAGCTGGTGCCTGGGAAACCTATTAAGACCTTTTGGGGTGACCAAATGAATGTAATTTGAGAATACAGCCCAGTGGCATTATGTGAAGACAAGCTGTTAGTACACAATGGTATAAAGCAAAGGAGTCAAATTTATCTGAGGGATAAACCAGGAAACTGCTGGTAAACCAGAAGTATCAAGCATTGTAACTACTTGAAAAATGAGAGAACCCGGAGGCAAAATTGGACGATCGAGGATGTCAGTCCTCCAAAAGAAACATTCCTAATTATATAGACTCTGGGGTGGTGTGTACCAGCACAGATCTGTATCACTTGACTCATTCCAAATAACATCTGGGAGAAGACAGGGATTTTCATGGGTTTTCTCTAAATATTGTTGACAAGTAAATACATTAATCAGGTTGGAAGGTGTGAATTTCCTTGGTGGAGCCCTTGGGCTAAAATGACTCATAATTGTGGTAGAGGATGGGAGAATGTCTTATTATTTGGACCACAGATCAAAGACTTCTAAGCTGCCCTTTGCATCTAGAAGCATATGGGTGGATATTACCTCAGACCAGGCAGCAATTACCATTTATAGAATTCCATTTCTCTATGAGAGTCAAATCCTTCTTTGGTCATTTCTACTCAAAATATACTTTAAAAAAATTAGTTACCAGGAGTTAACAGGACTAAAGCACACCTTCCTGGGAGACAAGTGTAAAAGAGAAGTGTACAGGTTAAATTCCAAATGGAAAAGAAAAAATTTGATGGAGTGTATGTAGTCCTCAGTCTTCTCAGAGAATGAAAAGATTGAAACAGTGGCAGGGACCTTGAAAATATGGAGAGAGTGAAAGAGGTCTGCTATTGGAGCTGCAGAGCATATGATAGGGAATCTGAGATAAAGGAAAGATTTTGAGTATTAACTAGAGTTCTTTCTCCATGGACCATATTTACCTTTTTCCTAATCAAAATTTTTTCCCATCCTTAAGGCCTCAAATTATTTCCTGAAAATGATCTTTCCAATTTTTGTCTCTTATTGGAATTATTTTTTTAAAATTTGTATGTCTCTTTTGGTGTGTTATATTTGTTGTTCCTGCTAAATTATAAACTATTCAAAGGCAAGGACAGTTTCTTACTAACACAGCTAGCCTTGGAATGACTATAAATACTTGTTAAGCTGAATGTGGCAAGAAGGAACAGGAAATTGTGATTTAAAAAGTTATTGCAGGGTGGAGGGAGGGATTGGGACAGATGCAAGACTGTTATTGTGGATGAGGGTAGCAAGGATTTTAGATTTTGGGATTTTGAATATACAGCAGTTCTTAGTGATAACTTGACTGTGTGAGTCTTAGAGTACACTGAAATTCATTGGTATTTACGAACTGTCAGGCTAAGGTATCAGAAAGGTCATCTGCTTATTAGGACTATCATCAAGGAATACAAACCATGTCATGTCATGATAAAGTATAAAAATTATCAATGGCTTTCAACCCTGGGATTAATGATGGTTCCCACTGTGGTTGAAATTAAATTGGTACTTCCTGGTTTATAGACTTTTAGCCTAAATTTCTCTTATTTCAGTTGGGTTGCTGCTCAGAAATAGAACTACTACTGTACCTTTGGGTACGAGAGTTCACTGTTGCTTCTAGTCTTGCAGGCTAGTCTTTGAGAGGGTCATGACCTTTATAATACCCAAGCACTAGAGGAGAGGATACAAATATACATACATTTTTATGTTCCTTTCTTCCAGTTAAGTTTCTAATAACACCTAGATTTCTCAATTGAAAAACAAGCATTCACTCACAGTTCCTTTTTGTTTTCTGCCTCTGCTTTGCTTAACTCATTGCCTCTACCTTAGGCAGTCACTTTTATTCAATTACTAAGGATTCCCAATAATCTGAGAGTTATCTCAGATTAAGCTGGAGGACTGCAAGTGGCCATGAAAGTCTTCTTCTGGTCATTTCTTGCTATTTATATAAGTATCTGGGCACTTTGATGATTTAGTACTATTATCTGCCTAGATATTTCCTTTCTCCCTACTCCCTCTGATAAATTACTGTCTATTATCCTGGCATAGCTCAAAATGTCACTCTCTCCTAGGCAGAATTATTCCTTTCTACTTACTTACCTACCATTTCTTCTGACTCGACTCAAATCTTGATTTCACTGCCTATTACAATATAACCTTAAGCTACCTAGGCTTCAGTTTCTTTATCAGCAAAATTGGGATGATAATAGTAAATCCCTTTAAGGATTATGGTGAAGGTTAAAGGAGATAACAGTTACAAAGTACTTAGGACAATGCCTAGTAGATAGCAGGTGTGCTTGATAATTAATATTATTCCACACCATTTACTGTATGGACAGTTTTCTGTTTCCTACATCTTTTTGGTATACTAGACATTTTTAGGTGCTGGAGATTAAATAAATAAAGGACACTGTATATGCACCCAAAGGACTTCAGGTAAAGTGAGAAAACAAGTCAGTAAATACAGTG